CGAATGAAAAGCAATTGAGTGTGAGCGCTAGTTCGACCAGACGGAGTAGTGTTTCAGAGCTAGGTTCCTTAACAGTGCGATGATCGAAAAAATGTTTGAGGGCCTGGAGACCATTGCGAATGACAGTATAAAGAGATGTTATATCCATAGTCAAAATAACTTTGTTTTGGCCGAGGAAACTAAAGTCACGAAAAATTTCAAGTGCGTGTTGGCTGTCCTTAATGTAAGACGGAAAAGTTTTGACGATAGGTGCCATACGTTTTCAACTCAGTTGTTAACACTAAATTACCTGCTATACTCTCCCACCGACGCAGCACCACAGTTTCTTTAGAAACTTACTCCTTTATTGTTGTATAAATTGTTCCACTGAACTAGAGCAGTGAATGCAACTATGTTCACCAGCCGAAATGCGTGCACCTTTCAAACTCAATTTGTTTGTTTTCTATAACGTTCAGCGACGTTCACCTAAAATGGATCTATATTTCAAGTGTGTTTTTTTCTTTTTATTTTTCATGTCAGTAGGTGACCATTGTGTCTTTGGAGCCCAAATTTTTTGCAGGAAAAGTTCGTCCCCAGATATAACATTCAAACATTCATATATACCATTTGAAAAATGAGAAGGAAAAATAGCACATCCGATCCTGAGGAACTGAGAACAATTATTTACAAGTTTTCAAAAAGGATCAGTCGCTGTTTATATTTGCTGACATTATTTTTACTGTCTCAATCATCTCTGAGCTAACCAGGTTCAGAATTATTTTCATATTTGTGAGAAAGAGGGTTAGTCATCGAATATATAGAAATGAATTTTCCAAATGCAAAACACTGAAATATAACGCGTAAACTTTCGCAACTGCTATCGATGTTTATAAATTGTTGATGACTATTGTTGCCAAAAGAATTTTCAGACTTATCCTAACGTGTTTAATGCCCTTTAAAAGGTGCCACCTGTTGTTTGTCTATTTCCTATTGTATAAAGATTTAAGATACATCTTAACTAGTGCAGTACTTGAAGAAGTCGCTAAGAACCGAGTTCCGGTTTTAAAGAAGAACCCGAGAAATGAAAACGATCAATAATTTAATAGACAGTGAAAACGTTTTCTCCGGCTTTTTAGAGAGCAAACGCCAAAACGCAAACGCAAAAGCACCAGCGCTGTTGCGTGTTTCGCCTGTTTTCCTGCCAATCGGCTCATTATTTTGTGCAAAAGTGACTTTAAAATGCAAACGCACGCGCACTACCTTCGTGATAGCACAGTTCTATTAAAGATGGGAATGGAGATTCACAACACTGTAGCTGTGTCTTGTTGTGGGTATTGCTCAGTGTCTTGATTTCTTTGTATAACTGGCAAAATGGCAGTAAAATTTATTATCTAAAGTTAACGTGAATCGAATTTCAATCATTCAGAATTGATAACGATGATCATGACTGATTTTGTTTCAGACTTTTTGAGTCCAACCCAAGAATTCAAGACATAGTTCCCGCCTTTACGAGTTTGAAACTTGAAGCCGTAATCAACTCTCGATCTCTGTATCTTCACGTCAGACGGGTCATGACTGCGCTGGAAAATGCTATGTTTTCTTTAAACGACGCAGAGGTTTTCATCGAGTATTCAATTCAGTAAGCTGTTCATTAACATTTTTCACGTGCGTTGCAAAATATTTTAAGGATAAAAAACGCAATAGCGTCTATTTGTGCGCGAAAATATGTACGGATATTTGTCCTTGGATGTTATCTGTTCCTCGAAGCTCACAGCTTTCGCAACTTGGGACAGAAAATTCGTGAAAATGACCGCGGACAAATATCCGCACTTATTTTAGCGCCAAATTGGAACAATTGTTTATACAGCGCTGTATGGTGATTTAAAATTCAGTAGAGGGAAGCATAGTGCTATCTAGGAGTACATATTGTTGTGAAGCGTTGTCTAGTTACCGCATTTTACGGATTTACAGTGCTACTCAGGGGTATAATGTTGTATTGTGCTGTATAATTTTAAAAGTTGCAATAAAGGGATGTATAGTGCTATTTAGGGGAGGAGGAGAGGGGCATATAGACGTACGTATTCGAGGAGTTTGTTCTACAACGTAAGGAGACATGGAGTCCAATAATCGACGGAACGTGTTTGCTCCTAATGAATCTTTCGGGCTGTTATCGACTACCTCTTAGGAAGCATTACAATAACTTAACCTTTCTTGATTATTGTCTTGTCAAATACTTTCTCAAGGTCCTCTCTGCGTCTACATCCAAGATGACGGCTACCGACTCGGAGAAGTCTGTGGATTGGCCTGCTGCCATCTTGGACTCGCGATGTAGGTGGACCCTGGGCGAGAGTTTGATCCATTCCCAATCAGATGATAGAAGAAGCCTTAATTTGGACATTGAAGGACTCGTTTCCAACAAAATGCATCGATTATGTCGCAGAGACTTGGAGGGAGCTCTTTCGTTTTATAGCTGCTACTGTGATGAGAGGACCGAGGAGAGCAAACACTGGCAAGTGAGACTTAAAATTGAGACCCCCTGTGGACTGGGAATGAGTCGAAAGGAAAACTAAGATTTTACTAGACATGATGCTAAGAGGACACCATCCTAAAGTGAACAAAATAAGCATAATAACAACTACTCTGGGGAAGTAAGGAGGTATATGAGTTGTAAGAGACCTGACGTTGCGCGAGGATTGAGACGAATGAAAACTGAAACAGACAAGGAGATAGTCGCGTCTAATGAAGCGCGTAGAAGAATAAAGTTGAGGGCGATGAAAGAAGTGCGCGTAAAAATGGGAATAAAGGAAAAGTACGATGAAAAAATGGGAAGGAACAAAAGGAAGAAGAAAAAACAGATGCACAAATGTGAAAAGGTGTAAAAAGGGTGCACACAGGTAACAGTATGAACACGTCCGTCGGCATTCAAAATCGTGTGACAATATGGAGAACGGTAGACAGTGAAAGAGACACAATCGAAGAGTCGACGAGCGTTTGTTAAGTGGGTGGGGGCTTGAAACATGGAATGTCAGTACACTGTCAGCTGCAAAGATTATCAACTTGGCGCGCGCGGGTCAAAACAAGCATTGAAGTCCCCGTAGGATCTGTTCTCCCTGCATCTCACGCGAATCCTTAGAATATGGAGACAGACAATGAAAACAAACGCAGTTTTTGTATTTTATACACTCTCTATTTCTCTTACACAAAAAAGTAAAAAAAAGTACAATACAAACTGCATTAAATTGTTCAAGGCATTAAGTAAAGTACGCGCTAAACGGAGACACTAAAATGAACCCATTTATTCCCAAGATTGATCATAACTTAAATTCTCCTCGCAAAATTAATGCACCGACAAACATGGTGTCAATAAGAATTAGAGAAAATCTAAACTAGCGGATTATTTTTCACTAGAAACGTTATGTTTCATCGAATTCTCAGAATGAAGCAACAAAGAAACACATTCTTATCAGTTGGGAGAATTTTTCTTCACAACTTGGGAGTTAATGAGTTAATGAATAAAAACTAAGGTAAATGAACAAATAGCTTCAACTTTAAATACAAATAGCATCAAAACAATTCACACCAAATACACTGACATTATAAAAAGAATGTTTAGTCGAAATTGTCCCAGCTTGTTTTTAAAATCCTACGTTACATCATATTCAACCATGTGCAAGGTTAACTATTACATTTTATACCAGCATATACCAATGGTAGTTATGAAAATCTGTCAAAAATTAACATTGATTTTACAAAAATTTCTTTTAAAACAGCTGTGATACAGTATACCTTAAACTTTTGACCACATAACGGGTTCTAATTACAAAGCGTGCTCTGAATACCTAAGTATAAATTCTTAAATCTAAGAAAGATATCATCAGACATCTCCAAATTATACTAAGGTAAATTTAAAGCCATGAAAAAAATTTGAACAGGAAATTTTCAAAAAAATGCAAGTTTTATCCTGAAGCCCTGAACCTTTTTAACTACGGCCTAGATTTACATTTATTCATGAACATTTTCACCAAAATAATTCCCATTGAGGACTACATGGCTTACTTCAAGTGTTTCCCTAATTTATTGGCGTAAATATTTTCCTAATGAAAACAACAAATTCCATGTCACCTACATTAAAAGTCACAGCAATGGAAACTTCAGTTAAAGTAAACTCTGCTTCGCTATTTCCTTGTTTAGATTACATGGACAATTTGTCTCTGTCGTCGTTCTCTAAAACAAACTGATGAGTGTTTGATAAAACGGACTAAAATTGATCAAACTCGTTTGATTGAAAGCAGGCCGTTGTAGCCAGCTCTTTGACTTGTTGTAGGCCTTTTTCCTGAGAAATTTCAATTTTTGTTTCAACATTTGTAAGAGTCATATTAGAAAAGTCAAGCGGGCGGAAAACAATTGTAGGCCGGGCCCACGGGACTAGAGGCTGGCCACACCCCTGAGAGTAGGTCTAATGTCTCTAACATATGGTCAGTAAATTCAACAACATCATCTCTGATGATTACTTCTTCAAATTAAGCTTAGAATGGCAATCTTGGCACTGATGGAATTAGATTGCATTAAAATGGATTGAAAAAAAGTTGAAAATGATAATCAATTTTTTTGTAAAGATAATTGCAAATTGCAACAAAGTAATTTATGACGTAGAAAAACCATTAAGATCAATTCACATATGGCTGCGAATTTTGCAAATCACATTTTTGAAATTAAAATTTCGCCACCTTTTGCAAATGACAAACTGTTTCTTTGCTTATCAAAAGCTTAGAGTATCAACGTAATTAAAACCCGGTGGACAAGCTCCTGGTTGTGTACAAGAAAAAAACCTTTAAATTATTTTACACATAACTGATTGCAATAAAGGAATAGATCTGAGTGTCATTTTGGCGAAACGAAAACCTCGTAGTCGCCTTCAACAACTTCAGGCATTAACAGCAGAAGCCTTGTTGCATCTTGTTCTCTTCGCAAGCATCTAAATTTGTAAAGGTAAAAAAATAGCAATTCCACTGAACAAAATATACTGAAATAGTCTGTTTTATTTCTTCACCAAAGTAAAGTCACACATCTCAAGTTCCATTTAACAAAAAAGTGAAAAGTAATGAAAAATAGCCAAAAAGCGCCAAAATGGAGAAGCATTTAAACCTTCCAAGTTCCTGCGTCATTCATTTTGAGATGAAATAAAAAGTTTTCATTTATGTGATTTCATATTCAAATTTTCTCTTTCCTTTGCCATGAAGTCAAGAGTGACGTCATCTCCAATCAGCAAAAAGGGCGCCCAGTGTTTGATGTCGCAGAACTTGTCTGATTCTCTGAGGCTTTTCATGGCCAGGTTCAGTGACTCGCTTGCTGGTTTACCTCCTGCAAGTTGTTGATAAAAGTATTTCATGAACTCAAGAGTAGCCTCGTCATCAATCGCCCACAGGGACACCACAATAGACCGAGCACCAGCCCCCATAAAAGCGCGCGCAATGCCAACCACACCTTCAGCCTTGATCTCGCCCCGGCCGCTGTGGCAGCAACTAAGCACAACAAGTTTGGCCCGAAGTTGAGCATTCAACACATCTCCAATTGTTAAAATGTAATCCTCCTCCGTTGGCACAGTAGATATTCGGTCTGGGTCAGGTGTAAGAGCAATTTCGCCAGTTTCCATACATCCGTGTGCCGCAAAGTGAACTAGGGAAACGGAACTGAGTCTTTTCAACACCTCACGTTTCGTGGCCTGACTGCCAGTGATTGGCGTGATATTCAGAATTTTTCCGATCATTTCTACTTCTTTTTTAGCATACTGAAGCTGCTCGAAGACTTTCTTTCCCTCGCTGTTAGTAACCTCGGATACCCACGGATCTCCTACAAGTAACGCACCACTGCTTTTGTGATAATCATCTGGGCAATCGGCAATGAGTCTAAGACTTGCTAACGATGGAGCGACTCGGATTGTGAACGATTCACACAGGTATTTAGAATTACCATCCTTCAATGCAGCGTAAGGAGCGATCCACAGGGGTCCATCAGGAATAATGAGTAGCTCATCCCCTTCAATCAAGTCAGCCACCGGCTTCATAACGATATCATACAAAGTGCTCAAGCATCCGTCTTGTTGGATGTGAGGTTGAGGCTTGGCTTCTTTGGTTTTCTCATCCACTTTTGAACGGCCCTCCCTCAAAGCATCTAAAGATCGATTCTCGCATCTCACATTAGAACGAACACCAAGTTGTGTATAGACACCGAGCATGAACGACTCAAAGGACAGGCTAGATCCACTATTCTCTGAAACAAAACCTTTGAGTTTACTTTGTCTTAACTGAACTTGTTTTCCTTCGGACACAACCCAAAGATTGACGTTAGCTTTGTCCACTGCCTGAAAGACAGTGTTTGATGGAACGTTTTTTAAAACTGCGCAATCTTCATCTTCTCCCTTGTGGTGACTTGTTCCACCACAAAAACTGGATTCCATGAGGTCGGTCAGAGCTTGAGCTCGTCCTTTCTCAGCAACAAATAAGGCTTCATCTACATTACCTTGTTCTACGAGAACTCTCCACAAACCCGTATACGCCACTTGATGCTGATTTCGAAAATTAACTTTCCACTCATCTTTAGATATTAGAAGTACTCTCAAGGAATTGAATAAGTTTATGCTAGCTTGGTAATGTTCAACGGCTTTTGGCAGTCCACCTTGCAACTCAAAAACCAATCCTAATGAACAGTAGGCCATTGCCTCCGAGGATTTGTCTCCTACTTCTTTAGCTATTAAAAGATGTAGGTTGTGGTACTCTATGGCTTTTTTGAAATCACCCAGACTAAAATAAGCATTGCCAAGATTGCCATAAGCAACACCCTCCCCATGCTTGTCTCCTACTTCTTTAGCTATTTTAAGATGTAGGTTGTGGTACTCTATGGCTTTTTTGAAATCACCCAGACGGCGATAAGCATTGCCAAGATTGCCATAAGCACCACCCTCCCCATGCTTGTCTCCTACTTCTTTAGCTATTTTAAGATGTAGGTTGTGGTACTCTATGGCTTTTTTGAAATCACCCAGACGGTGATAAGCATTGCCAAGATTGCCATAAGCGTTACCCTCCCCATGCTTGTCTCCTACTTCTTTAGCTATTTTAAGATGTAGGTTGTGGTACTCTATGGCTTTTTTGAAATCACCCAGACGGTCATAAGCATTGCCAAGATTGCCATAAGCGTTACCCTCCCCATGCTTGTCTCCTACTTCTTTAGCTATTTTAAGATGTAGGTTGTGGTACTCTATGGCTTTTTTGAAATCACCCAGACTAAATAAGCATTGCCAAGATTGCCATAAGCAACACCCTCCCCATGCTTGTCTCCTACTTCTTTAGCTATTTTAAGATGTAGGTTGTGGTACTCTTTGGCTTTTTTGAAATCACCCAGACTGCCATAAGCATTGCCAAGATTGCCATAAGCAACACCCTCCCCATGCTTGTCTCCTACTTCTTTAGCTATTTTAAGATGTAGGTTGTGGTACTCTATGGCTTTTTTGAAATCACCCAGACGGTGATAAGCATTGCCAAGATTGCCATAAGCACGTTACCCTCCCCATGCTTGTCTCCTACTTCTTTAGCTATTTTAAGATGTAGGTTGTGGTACTCTATGGCTTTTTTGAAATCACCCAGACTGTCATAAGCATTGCCAAGATTGCCATAAGCATTGCCAAGATTGCCATAAGCAACACCCTCCCCATGCTTGTCTCCTACTTCTTTAGCTATTTTAAGATGTAGGTTGTGGTACTCTATGGCTTTTTTGAAATCACCCAGACTAAAATAAGCATTGCCAAGATTGCCATAAGCAACACCCTCCCCATGCTTGTCTCCTACTTCTTTAGCTATTTTAAGATGTAGGTTGTGGTACTCTATGGCTTTTTTGAAATCACCTAGACACAAATAAGCATAGCCAAGATTGCCATATACAACACCCTCCCCATGCTTGTCTCCTACTTCTTTAGCTCTCCCCATGCTTGTCTCCTACTTTCTATTTTTTAGCTATGGCTTTTTTAAGATGTGCCAAGTTGTGCTTGTACTTCCTCTATGGCTTTTTTGAAATCACCCAGACGGTGATAAGCATTGCCAAGATTGCCATAAGCCTTACCCTCTCCATGCTTGTCTCCTACTTCTTTAGCTTTTTTAAGATATAGGTTGAGGTACTCTATGGCTTCTTCTCCCTGATTATAGAGATCTATGACTTTCTTGACATCACCTGAACTTGCACTACCGTGGTCATGACTAATAGGATCTTTTTCCTCCATGGACTTATCTCCCACTTCACTGACAGACTGAAGTCTTAATGACAACAAGATCCTATTGTTTTTGTCAATCTTTTTTATGTTAAGGGTTAAAAATGTGGAAAAAACAAAAAAGATTATGTTTCTGATCATATTGATATGTAATAGTCCATTTTAACATTTGCGTGCTTGGTTCCCAAACCTCTGAACAAGAGCGATGATTAAGGGTGACCTTGTTATGATAAAAACATTGCTGCTTTTTAAATGCAAACTACTTTGTTATTATCGTTTCTAGATACTGGTCTCTATCACAACAAGGTCACCTTCAGCCTCACTCCAAATCAAAGGCTTGGCAACTAAGTACACAACTATAAAATGGCCCATTAGGAGGGCTTTGCATGAAAGGTAGATGATTTATCAACATTCAGTCTTAAAGTCAGTTATGAAGTAAATCTACACTTCAAAAAATGTTTTTTCTGTGTGCAGCCTCAAAATTTAACGCGAAATATCTAGATTTAATCCCTAGTTTCCAAAAACTGAGCAGCACTTGCTCAATTTTTAAATTAATATAGCTTTAACATCAGACAAATGTTTTACAGCAGTGGAAGAAATGAGTCTATAACACAAATACATGTCTTTAAAATTTTTATTTGTCCATAGGAAAGCACAACGAAAGTTTCCGAGTCTCTAAGTAGTGGCAAAAGGTCGAAGGCAAGAAAATCTGCATAAGATATGTAAACATTACCGAGCTTTTTGTTCTGGCTTGTTTTAGAGAGATCATCTACCCAAGTACTATGTATAAACTGGATGAATATTAGTCTTCTAACCCTTTAACTCCCGTGAGTGACCAAAAGAGAATTTCTCCTTACAATAGCAATACAATATCAATCAGATAAGTGTTGAGAGTAAAAAAAAATATATCAATTTAAAAATAGTTAGTTGATGCAATACTGAATTCTCTGTACTAACATTACAAGAATTGTATGGTTGACAGTAAGGATAATTACAAATTTGGTCTGGGAAATTAAAGGGTTATTTAAACTAATGTACCAGTTATTGGCATGGATAGTAGAACTAAGTCAAATTGGCTAAAAGGAGTAATTTCATTAATAAGTCATGAGGTAATAACTTCTCCTATGTTTTTAATCACACACACTTAAAGTATATGAGCTGACAAGTTCCCATCATAATTAATACCCTTCTTTGTATTTTCTCCCTTGAAACATCAAATTATGGAAACTTTTTTCCATTATACCCACGGTTAAAAATGAAAGATTCCTTCAAAGGATACAGCTAGTCCCTTATCACACCAAGTGATTGCTTCTTCAAATCTCTTCAATTCAACACAAGCAGTGGCTCCTGTAGGCAACAACACAAAGAAGCATACTATTACTGTAGCTCAATTCTGAGAAAAGAACCTGAAACCATTGAAATCATTACAGACCAGAAGAAAAAAAAAAGACAAAACAAAACAATACAAAAAAACTAAACGGAAAAGAATAAACAGGCCCTATTAGGTTTCAGTTAGATTTATTTAGCTTTACAGACAACTGAAACTTCTAAGAACACTTAAATTGGGATCAACAACTCCCACAAAAACACTAAAAGTTAGGTAAGTCCTGATCCTTCTTTTTAAAACAGCTAGATAGTGACTTAAGAGCGTGTCCACGAGAGCACCGGGCAGTCGTGCTACATGCCATCTCACCGATTTCAATGAAACTTTGTCAGTTTAAAGGGTCTACCCCAAAACTCAAAAAAACAGACTGGTTTCTGTTTTGGTTTTTTCCGGGGGAGATAGACCACCCCCCGGTTTTTCTTGGTTTTCACCAAGGAAATCGCTTCAAATAGGTAAAATGTATGAAGCTCTCACTGCGATGGTATTTAACCGATTACTTTGAAGATTTGCACACATATTTTTACATCCTTAGTTAATGGCCGCCGCGAGTATCAGTCAGTTTGATCGACGGCTTGTCAATCAACAGAGGCAAATATACGACTGTGTTTTTAGACTTTTCGATTCATCTAAATATTTGACAACTTTGAGGTCAAATATCTCCCGTTGCCAGAAAGCTACAACACTAATCTTAATTACCCTTTATAACCCATCATTTCATCTCTGAAAATCATCAAAAAAATCTTTGGGCACTACCGTATTTTTGTCTTGGATGCCTTTTAAAATCTGCGACTGTGACAAGTTTCTCTCAACTACACCTGTCACGCAATTCTTGCTCTAGGCGGTCACTTGACAAAATAAACCTACATTTTTTAGCTCTTTATACAAGATGATTGGTCAAGAAAGGTGAAAAATGTGAAAAACTTTCGAGATTTTTTGTAGGAATGGAAAATTTCACGTTTAGAGAGATGCATGTTGACGGAAAATCAATGGGAAAATCGTAGCGTTTCTTTCTTCAGTCGTTTATTACTTTGAAGATTTGCTAAAATCAGGACATAGGGCTCTTGTACAGAACAAAACATTCATTAGCCTATACTTTGATCGTCTATTATCATTATCGCACAGTTTACAATAAGGAAACTGTAACAGGAGAGGAGATTTTAAAGTCACATGTCGCCTGCTTGTTGACGTACAAGTTCCCGAGTGTAACAACTTCGGCTTTTCCATACCGCGAATGACGGGAAACTCTGCCCCCTTATTTGTTAGGAAATATCAATAGCCCCATAAATTCATTAACTACGCCATGTTTCCAGAAAATAAGACTGGAAAATGTTTTTTCCACTTTCCACCATCAAGAAATTCCACGTATAGGAATAGTATTTGTAGGGTCACTGCGTGACCTTTTATGAGAAGTAAAAATTGTTCATCTTTTTTTTTTCAAGAAGACACTTCTAGAAAGTTCCTAATCCTTCTGTTATCTTATTTTCCTGTTTTTTGACTGCAAATATCATCTGCATTTGCTATTATTTTCGCTGATTGTCATGGCCTTTCCTGCGTGCACGTGCGAGCTAGTTCATATACAGGACTCTTTCGAGTTTTATTTTCATTCTCTTGCTTGCATTATCACACATTTATGTTTTTTT